AAAAATAATAAAACATGACTGATCCTGCAAAGCACTTGGGAATATTTTCTGAATTCTCTGAATTGTTATTTAAGAATGCATTTCTGCCTCATTGTTAAAGATGCTTTTAAATCCCTGGTGGCCACTCTTAGCTGCCGACCACAGAATTGCTAGAATGCAGTAATTTTTTGCTTTCTTAAATTAGCTGCAGCTTATCAGTCTGTGACTATGCAACTAAGCTCTTCTATGACCAGGGCACGTGGTACCAGTGACAACATGCAAGACTTGAGGAATCAAACTGGCTTTAAATACAGCTGGCCCCATGCTTAAATAGTAGGCTCTGCTTCCCCCATGCTAGTCAGCACAATTAGATGGTGAACCTGTACTGATAAATGCCAACAGACAGCCTGGCTCAGAGATCTGTAATCACACTTCTTGTATAAATATATCTGAGCTATAGTGTTTCTATAAGGCATCCTCTAGCAGCCCTTCACTCCTAAGAAATTCCTTCACTGCTGTGCATTCCTGCATGAGAATTGCCCAAACCCAATACCATTACTTTCTTATTATTTCCTGGAAGCACAGCACGAACAATTTGCTTAAGTACAGATAAAACCAATGGCCGACACTTCATATTGTTACGAAGTACACGCACAGAAGCAGTTGTTATTAATGACACTTTTGCCACGTGCCGAATGCACCTGACATCTGATGGAATGCTTCCAAACTGCAGCTCACACACTACTGACAGAGAAATTACTGCTGCGGTGACTGAAACAAAACATGGTATCCATTCCCAACCAAGGACTTGAACTTCAATTTCTCATCTTTTTCTTTCTTAAATTTTTCCTAATGTTTGGCAAACCCCGCTTTTGAAAGTTGAACTTCTTGAAGACAATGAAATGCTTCATCTGCTGTGATGGTGATTTTTCTGCCTCCTCACTTCCAATAGAAAACAGTGCTCCCCAAACCAAGACGAGAACTAACATTGTTGTGATGACCTGCTGGCAATTTACACGGCTGCTGTAACCAAGGACACATCAAGCCCGTGATCCACAAACTCAAAGGTGCTCGTAAGCACCTGGATGCTCATGAAGTCCTGACTTCATCTGGTTCCAGCTAGGTTCGTTTCATTTTTACTTAGGAGGTCCCATCTAGAGCAGAAATCCCCTGGTAGTGTTTAGTACCTGAGGTACCAGGCCTTGAAACTTCTGGAAACATGCTGCTAAGCTGTAAGACCTCTCACAGCAGAATCATTTTAAGAACCCAGTCATGAAGACATCAAGGAACTGTTCTTCGTACGTGGAAAGCCTGCAGGGAAAACACCAGTCCTAACTCCAGGTGCTGACTAGGTGCTAAGAGCACTCACAAAGGGCTTGGAAGGAACATGACTGAGTACCAGAAGGATCTGACCTGAGCCCAATGGCTTCCTGCCATCACCAGGAAGCTTGACCATGTAGGACCTCCTGCCAACCAACACCTTGGCAAAGGAAGATCACCAGGTGCCCCCACATCACGTTATCAAATGCCTGAGCAGACAGCTCTGACCTCAGAAAGGAGTGAGTGCAGCTGGAAGATGCGTCAGTGTAAGTAAAAGCCATGCAGATATTTGGGTTTCCCTTCGCAGGAAAATACTTGGCTACAAATACAGTGAATGCAAATACAAGCTTGAATTTGAGCAAGGGAACAGGTGCCTGTGAAACATCTTCCCAGATGACCTAGCAAACTAGCCAAACACAGACTGCAATGACTGCACCTAACACTCTCAGTGTTACTTCTCCATATCCATGCAGAAGTAATAAACAAAATGCTGCAGACTAAAGTACTAGGTGGCTGCATTCAGCAAAGTACACTTTGGTGGTAAGCCTGAAATCCTACAGTAACTGATTTGGCTTTGGGGTCTATTTCAACGAGTTCCTCTTGTTTCACAGACAAATACATTGAAGTACGTATATATAAATACTGAAGTAGTATTTGTATGGAATAAACTTTTGGTATGGATTTATGCAAGCTGGATTTTCAACCAGTTTCAGCTGGGGTACAGACAGCTACATCCTGTGTTAGATTACTTCTGATGAAGACCTGATCTGCCTTCTGCCAGTAGGTAACAAGTGAAGCCTAGCTGAAACCTTCAGCACATTTTAAGTACAACTGTATTAGAGCTCAGTTTCTTACTGTTTCTGTGCCAAGAACAGTCCACAAAAAGAAGTTCACACTGAATAGCTGGTAGGCATTATATCTCATAGGTTTTATTTTTGAAAACAAAAGAAAACAGAACTTTGCAGCAGATATAGAAATGTTGTCTCGTATTTTGTTACTGAAGAACTGGCAGCTCCATGTGCTATATCACAGTTATGGTATGCTTGAGTAACCTTTCGTCTCACTTAATGCTTTTACACTTCAAAAAATATGGAAAAAAAAGTCTGCTTCAGAGCAGGATTAACTGCACATTAAAAAAAATGTGATGAGCAATGAAAATAGCCCAACAAACGGAATCAATGGAGAATGTCGTAAAGCATGTCACCTCAGGAGGAGGATGTCATTCCATCCCATGTCTTGAAAGTATCAGTGGGAATTTGTCTTACCTGACAGTTAAGAGAGTGTCAGTGCAATGCCAACCAGCTGCAAGCAGCAGTGTGAGAGCTGGGTAACAAACCAGGTCTAGATGCATCGAGTGGGCTGCACTATGCAGGTGTTTCCTTGGAAGAACAAAATGAGAGCAGACACAAAAACACGGGGGTCTAAGTAATGAAGATGACTGTATTTTAAGGTAATTTGGTAAGAAAAAAAATGGAATTGTGACTTCAGTGTCCCTGACTGAGCATACTGTACTGAGAAAAAAGGTATTTTCTAAGATTCCTTCCAGCTTTTTACTTGCTGCATCAGAGCTTTTCCCTCCCTTTCCCGACTATGACCATTGCATGGCCTTTAGCTCTGAAGCTCTTTCATTCCTGGTATTTCTTTGCAGACAGCTGATGTGTAACCAGCAAAGGCAGTGCAAGATTGCGTACATTTCTTCTTCCCTGAGTAAGTGGCACACAGCTGAAAAAAACAAACAAACAAAAAAAAACCCACACAAAACCCAAAAACCCAAACCACCACCCCCCACCCCCCTACACCAAAAGTAAAAGCTTCCCTTCTGCTGCTTTTGACCCAGAAGCAGATCTCTGCTTGCAAGTGAAGAACTGCTTTCTACTGGTGTCATATATTCTGTACCTGGGTCTTGTGTGATACGAAAAATGCAACCAAGGAATCTTCAGGTATCCAAGGCCAGAAAAAAAAGACAAGACCTCCCAAAGTCTAATTTTTAATCCTAAATAAAAAAGGTAAAATACAGGGGCAGAACAGAGTACTGGTTTAAATAAGCTTTGAAAGTAGTAGGGATCTTTAAATATGGATGATGCCTGCTATTTACTTTTAAAAGAGAAGCCATTGTGAAGAAGTTCTTCTGGTGTTCAGACACTGAAACCGTAGCAGGGGCTTCTTTATGTGAGATGACTTCACTTATTTCTGTGGGTTAGAAATGAGCTTTCCAGTTGTGTGAAGACAAAAATCCAGAAGCACACTGTGGAAACCTGGAAAGCTTAGAAGAAAGGGCAAATGGCTTTCCCCCAGTTTAACTACACTGAGTCCTGCCTCTCCCTCATCCGCAGTCTCCAGCTTCATGCCAACATACATTCAATGAATCCTGTGGCACTCGCATGGGTCTGCAGATCTTTCCAACAATGTCAAAAGCGTTGATCAAGCTCAGAAGTTTGTAAAAAAATAAAATGAAAGCTCCCATTATAGACATCCTTAAGCAAGAACAAATGGGCGTAGATTCTTTGCAAATGTGCAGTGTTTTGATGGTCACTGTGCAGAAGTTGGATGGGTGATCTGAAGGGAAACTACAGCTCACAGTTTTGGGGATCCATCTCTGTTTTTTGGCATCTTCCATTTTCAGGTGGAAAACGAGCTTGCTTCTTTTTAAGTGGAAAAAAAAAAAAAAGCCAACCAACTCATACTCTAGCTAAAAACAAGTTCTGAAATTCTACTAAGTCAGCCATACGTTGAAGTAAACAACCACTTAATAGTAAAGCAGGGGAAGTATCAAAGCAGCTCTGTTTTAATAGCATTTATTTGCAATCATTAGTTTTAAATGGGAAACTGTTTACAGGCACACACTAGATAACCAAAATAGAACGAACATAAAGAAATCTATTTGACGGTCCTTTTCAAATATTTCAAATATTTTATTAAATATTTTATTCAGGTTTTGATCACAGTTTAATGTACTTTAGCATGTTATACACATGACTTAACATGTGCACTTAATATCAAATTAGAGGTTTTTGAAGAAAGTACATTTTATAAATGTGCTTATTGACTTCTAACTACACACATCTAAGAAGGCAGTAGCTCCGTTATACCACTTATGGAGATGAACTATTATAAGGCATGTTTACACCAAGCTTTGGAGAGAATAAAGCCAAATACTGGGTCAAAATTTAGTGGAATTATGTATGAGAATAAAAGTTGAAGGACTGGGCCCTACAAAGAGATCACAGCAAATCAGATGTGTTAAAACTGTCAACGCAGACTGGTTATTAAAAGCAAGCACTGCTGAGAAAGAAGATTCTCACAGTGTCTGTATTTTTTTCAGACCTTTTTGAAAATTACACCTTATGGTGTAACGTGAAGGAAAGAGAATGAAATCTTCCAAGAAAGTTTGAAAACCATTGTCTGAGAAACCTCAAGTTGTTTTGGGACCTAACATGGAACGCTTTTATACAGGCAACATCTTCCAAGCCACTGCATACCAATGTGTGTGTGTGTGTGTGTGTGTGTAGGAGGTATAAACACACACACAGACACACATCTCTCTCCCTCTTGCCTTTGTCACCTTCAGACGACTGAATAAAGTGTAGCAGTGCGTGGAAAAAACAAGGTTAAAAGAGTAGGTTAAAGCACTGTATTCGGAAGCCTGGTTAGTTAGGCTGTACTGTGTGACAGCAGACGTGTTTTTGTGGTTTTTTTTTTTCCCAGTAGAGTACAATGTGGGTCTGTTGGCATAAGTTAACGATCAAGACCCAGAAATTACAACATAATTCTTAGGAAGAACTCAACAAACATTAAGGTATTTGCATTTGTTTTTAAAACTCTGTGTCAATGAAGGCCCTAGGTCAAAATAACATGCCTCCTTCAGAAGCATCACAAAAGCCAAAACTCAATTCTAGGGGCACAGTAGCCCCTAATCAGGGCTCCTGCACAGTCACACTGCAAACTACAATGCTGCCCCTCAAATAAGGATGGTTTTAGGCAGAAGCTCAGGTGTGTTGCTGAGTGGAGATCTCAAGTCAGTCCTTCCTAGATGTCTGCCTCAGAAGAATCAGTGGGGGAACATAAAACATGCATCCACTTCATAAGCTCCTTCGAAGTTGTCAATTCAGTAGAAAATACTGAGTATATAAAAGACTATAATAGCAGTTAGGTGAGAGAATAAATCTCTCTGTGCCTTTTTATTGGGAAATTCAGGAGAGGAGGCAAAAAAAAACCAAAACTCTTTCACAGCCTAAATGCACTCATTCTCATCTCTCAGTGTCCTGAAAATGACTCAATGTTCTGGCAGCTTTAGATGATAGTTTCATACTATGTACAAGGTAAGAAGAATGCCACAGATAGTACAAAACAGGGCAAAGATACCTACAATCTAGAAGTAGAGCTCTACAATCTAGAAAACAAGCATGGCAAACAAACAGTGTCTAATGTATGGTATACAACACAAAAGTTGCACAGTTATGTTTCCTTGCAAATGTAAACTCCAGAATAAATGTCAAGAACAGCATTTGGCTTACTGCATGACCACTGGGAGTATCTGAAGTCCACCACCTGATGAGCACAGCCATTCCTGCTCTTACACAACCCGTTCTACTGGGCCTATATCCGCAACTCCTGTGATTATGGCAGAGGTTCAACAAAAAATGCTCCAGCAACACAGTTTGGCTACCACTGTATATTCAGCCTGATGTTGTCAGATGAATGTTGCTGTTGGGAAGTAAAGCGTACAGCGATGTACAAATGGTATCAATGGCTGAAAAGATTAAACGATCAAGCCTGAAAGCAAATGGAAGATAACAAAAGTAGTCTTTTAGGAGAGGTAGCCATATTAGACTCAGCATTCAAAAAAAGGAAGTGCACTCAAAGGACCAAAATACATTACAAGATCTTGTACACCCATTATGTTTTTGTCTTTCCTACAGGTTTTTTTTTTCCAGAATGTACACACACACGCACACATACATATCTTTTTACCTAACTCCTCTTTGTTGCCACACCTTCACCATACTGAGAACAAAGGCCAGCTTTCCTTTTAACCTCTCTCAGCTGTCCCGTGCCTTCAGTCTGTTCCAGTACCCATACAATAGCTAACAGGCAACGGAATTAAATTGCTCCAATTTAATATCCTGTTCCAAATGACAGCATCCAAACTATAAGGCATTCCCTCGTTCTGATGCAAGTTACAACTCTCTTGGGTTTCTGCTTGGTGCAGACTGCAGAGTGCTCTTCAGCCTTACACTACAAAAGTAGATCTCACCCAAACAGTAAAGCACGAGGATGGAATTTGAACACTGATTCACACGCTTCCGTCTATCCCTTGTTCCTGCGCCCTTTTCCAACAACAAGGCTTACCACGTTAATTTCAAAAGTCATGCACCAATGCTATAAAAGAGAAATCCAAATCAACAAGAAACCTTTTGCTCATGACTTTGGGATACTGTATTAGTATAAAAGAGCATTCAGTCATCTTAAATAAATATACTCTATTTCTGAAATCACAGCACATTCAAGGGGTAGTTACTGCCGTAAGCAGAGCAATAAGTGATCTCCACGGATGTTTTTCATCGATTTGGTCTAATATCTGGAAAATAACCTACTGTGGGGATAAGAATCTGCATCTCAAATGTTCTGCAGAACGTTCTTCCCATATTTGCATACAGTACTAGAATAATTAAGAAGACATTACAGTATTTTCCTCCCAGCTGCTTACATCTGTAGCTTTGGCTACAACAATATATTCCGTATACCTCAAAACTATATATGAAATACCCAAGATCACTAAATAAATAAAAGCCAAGGAAACAGTACTGCATTTTACACTTGAGATGCGATTCCCCCACTCCCATGGATAAGTGATAGAGAACAACTAAGGTAATTGCTTTTTTTTTTTTTTTTTTTTTTTTTTTTTTTTAAAGAAAGATTTATACACAGGTTCAGATCCAGAAAATAATGTGAAATGCATAAATATTGATAGCTTTAGCTAAGTTAAAATGGGTTCAGTAAAGTATGATACAACATATTCAGAATAAACAAAGCAGAAAAGCATCATATTTTGGTTTGCTTGAGATATACATAAGGTGCAACAATTTCTTTTCTAGAGGCATTTGTGGACAATGTGTTAACAGGTAACAGTGTTTGCTGGTATACTGAAGTACACACAATAGCAATATGATTTTTTTCAAAACAAAAGCAGCTGAAATTAATAAAAATTAAAACAAAACAAACAAGGAAAAAAAAAAAAAAAAACAAAACCCAACCCCAATACAGTAAGATATTGGTCTGAAATTTTTGTTGTGCTAACAGACTTTGTTACCTGAAAATACTGATACCCCTTCTAGTAGATTCAGGGAAAACTCTAGCTACTGAAATCAAGACGTCACTCAGAGAACCAACAAAGGCAAATGCCTAGTGAACTATAAAGCTTTGCAGGATTTCTGCTACTCTCAGTGCCTAATCGCTTAAAAATTAAGCATATCTACAAAAAGGTTTATAAGTATCTGAAAACAGTCATATCCAGTAAACTGACCCAACCCTACCCCCTCTCTAAGGGAAAGTCAAGGAAAAGCAGATCAAGTAAGATATTAATTCATATAGAAAAAAGTAATTTTCTGTTTCTTTTAAAAAAGGTACCATTAATATACAGAAATATCTTCAGGAACAATATTGAAATTTAAATTGAGGAAGGATGGGGTGCTTTGACAAAAATATATCTACTCTAAAGGTTTCTAGAGAAATAAGTTAGTACCATTGTCAAGGTGAACGGCCTGCACTGTAACATATTTGGATTTCAGCTAATTATAAAGTGGTCCAAAACTCCAACAGCCACCTTGCTGTGACCCAACAGTTTAAAGTCTTTAGCTTTTCCTGTCTTGTTAAAATAACTTATAAAACTTTAATAAAATCTTATTAAAAAATACTGCCATAGGCTACAATGGCATTTGAGGGGCTCTTAGTCATATATTCACCTGAATTTTTAAAAAAGCCTTTTCACTGACTCATCGGCTCTGAAATTTTGTTGTTCTTTTGTAGTTGTTCCCTTCTTCCAACACATGCATCTTTGATGGTGCTGTTTTAGTGAGACTTTCCAAGCTGTCTACCCTAGTCAAACCTTTAACCCTTTGTTACAACTCTCGTGGTATCTTGGTATACTGTTTCCCCACAATGAACCAAAGACTTTCACTTAGCTACAACAATGAAAGGCTAAACCTAGCAAGCATTAATAGAGTTACTGTCCATATGGCTATTACATCAAATTAGTTACAAAATAACCCCAAAACATATTATCAATTCAGTCAAGTATAAATAAGAATGCCTGATAGAATGATGTAAACTCGCATCATTTAAAGACTTAATTCAAAGAACTTCAAACTCAATCTAATACTATCAAAAATTCAGCCAGTATGACGAAGACTAATATAAAATTATTGCTGGAGTCCAATTTGGTAAATTGTTGTGCTACAATGCAAAAATTAGGGAAACATCTTGTGCTATTGAAGAAGTACCCTGTTGAATTTGTAGCTTTAGTTTAATTACTAGTGATCATTTTGCATCTGTTGGTAGGAATCAATGCTTGGTTATACAATAGTGTAAGTCGAAATAGTGAAGACAGCAGGCCAAGTGATACAATTGGCCTGGCTTTTGGGATGCATTTATGAGAGCAAACCACAAAAATTCAGCATAAGCAAAGATAGAAGCTGGCAGGTGGATCTGTGGTAGTCTGAATTCAGTCAAACATTACTCTTCAGTTGTAGTTTATCTGCATAAAACTTTCCCCTTGACCAACACAAACTGTAATTGGCCCTTTATACAAACTCTGAAGCCGTCTGTGCATAGTAACTACAACAATGCCAGTGTCTTTAAAATGTAAAAGGTATGCTTATCAGAGTACATGTATATTGAAAAGTCATGCTTTTAGGTCTTTCAGAATGGTGAAATAATACTAAGGTCACTTTTGAAAAACATATTCGCAGTACTTTTTGTTTACAGGAAAGTTTCACCAAGTCACTCAGGTATCTATGCAAAAATAAAGGAACCTTCCAAGGCATTAAAGACAAGTCAATTCTCTGCAGTATTTTTCTTTTCCATACACCACTCCTTTTTCTAATGCACATCATCCTGGTTATTCAAAGCTAAATTAAAAAGAAACAAAACCCAAACATAGCCTGTCAGAATTTTTGCCAGTAAACTCTACCACTCTGGTGGCAAATATAAAAGTGCAGAACATCTGGACCACGTGGCTGCCCAAACACCGCTAACAATGGTACATCTGTCCAGGCTGCCTTGAGTTCTCTGGAACAGGTTTTATATTCATTCTACAATATAAACGTAGGCATAACCTATTAATATAAACCATCTTAGAACTTAAATCTTCATGTACAAAAATGACTAAGAATATCTAATAGTAACTAGTGCAGTGCGTCAGTGTTTTTGTTGTTGTTGATTTTTTCATTTTCATTTAACTAGGCATTGTATGAAACTAGTTGCCATACTCTCTGGTTGGTAAAAGAGATGCTGTGTGAACTAACAGTAAAGGCAGCCTTCTTCATATCAACCACCTATTTACTGTTTAAAAGCCTTCAATAGAAAGCAAGCTCTGGGATCATTCCATTCCTGTTCATTAATAGACAAATAATATCACCCTCCTACATACTGGGTTCCGATTTGAAGACCTGGCCCAAGTTGCTAATGTCTGGCTTCCAGTGAATTCTGGGCCACTCAGAGCAATAAGCACTTGCTTGCAGTCTATAGTTTCCATCACATGGACTGACTAGCTTCCCTTGGTAAAGACAAGGCTAGGATATTAGGTAAAGCACAATGTTTTACAATAATGTGGAGCTTCACTGGTCAGCGCAGGAAATAAGCACTGGAGCCTGAGACATTTCATTTGGCTGTCCATCATGTGGGAGAGGTGTGGCCCTCTGATTTCTGCAAAGAAGAAAAGAAACCTACCGTTATTCAAAGCATGGAAATGCTTTTAGCAGACAGGAAAGACAGAAATTAGCAAGTGATATAGTCTAGTGAACTCCACGCTGGCACAGATGTCCACATAGTGCTGGCTACTAACTGTTTATGGGTATTCCTGCAACATAAGAAAATATCCTGAGGACAACCTGCAATACAATGCAAAGTCAGACAAGTCTTGATGGTATTTGATTACACAAAACAACATAGATGGCCAAAGAGTAGGTTAAGAGCACACAAGTGCTGTTACACATTTTATAAGTGAGTGGTTTCAGCTCTCAGTAGTGGAGAGCACAGCTCATGTACAGCAATAGATGGCAAATGCACAGAGGCGCATGTCATGTTAGTGAGAGTCAATAGCTAGCTTTGAAGCAAAACAAAAATATACCTATCAGCAGTTACATGCTGGGATGACTCCAAATTTCATAACTTAACACTTCATCAGCCCAGCACATCTCTTTCATTACTTCAGCAGTGTTAATTTACAAATGATCCCCTGGCACAGGATATCATAAAAATACACCGCACCAGAATTACGTGCTGACAATCAACATCAGTCATTGAAGCAGATGGACCTGGGAGAACTCCTTTGCAGCTTGCCTTTTAAAATGCATGCAAAAGAACGTCACCGCCTGTTATCTAATTTCTCGAGTCAGATTCTATTATTGTTACATTATGTGTCACTTTGAGCAGTGAAAATCTGGAGCCTAATTCTTACTTACACAAAGGCTACTTTGATTGCACTTTGGCAGAGCTACAGTCTCCACAGTAACGTAGGTACCGACATGCTTTGCACACCTGTAGTGCAGTGAAAAGGCCTTGGTACAAAATGCAGCTCAGGATCACAAGTGCTTTAACTACGGCACACACAAGGTAACCAAAGCTAAACAAACATTCAAATGACAACCATGCTGTCACTTCCAGACAAGCTCTGATTACATTTAGAAAGGACTCCGGCTTCTGAGGTCCAAGACTGTGTAAAATTATATAATAATTGAACTTAGACTCTGAAAAGAACACATCAAGCAAACTTCCAATGCTATTCTTCTCATTTCTAGTTATTCAGAGATAAAGAAATTGCACAGATAATAAACAGTCAATGGAGTAGAAGTTAGAGAAGCATGCAGCCCATCAGATTCAGGTTTCTGTTTTGACTTCCATTTGACAAGTCTGTAAGAGACCTATGGCAAAGTTGTTACTTGGAAAGAGTTTCCCTTTTCATTTTCCCTAGTGATAGAAGCTGGAATTTGCAACAGTTGCTAGACATTTGCTGGTTTGGTGTTTTCAGGCCTCAAGGAAGATGCCACACTGCTCTAACTGCATGATGAGATGACAAAATATGGTTGTAGGTAAGGAAGACCCAAACAGAAGGGTAAGTAAAACATTGGTTCAAAACATTATTTTTAATGAGGAAAAATGAAGGAGAAAAAACTTTTAGAAAAACAAAGAGGACATCATCACAACTAAGTGAATCTTAGCTATGTAACTAAGTCACTCTTGTGCTGCTCTTCTCACAGCATTACTGGAAATCAATGAAACCACAAAGATGCAAATGAGAGCAGAACTCAGGACAGTGCTTCTCCAGGTTTCACTTTGTGGCTTGCAGCCATGGAAAATGACAAAAACAAGTTCATACCTTTGCAGTCTTGATAGCAGACTGCTGTTTTGCAAAACTGGGAGAAAAGTCTGGGCTGACTGTAGTATGAAAACATTTCCCACTTGAAATGCTATTGTGTAAGCAAGGTAACAGCTTCAGCAGAGAAAAGGTACCAGGCTGAGTTCATCAGAATTTCTTTCTTGGTGCCTTTCAAGCTTCTACAAAAGTCAGCGTTTCACATTAAGTCTGAATACAGGACTAGATTGCCCAACAGGGGGCACAAGATTAACAGTAGGTTGTGAGGCTGTGAATAGCGTTCATCAAACGCTGCTTTGTGGTTTCTTAGGTAGCCAGTAATCTGTTAACTACCAATTGCTCAGGTTGTGATGATTTCAGACTGGCCTAGATTTCCTTACTGACTTTCCACTATAGCAAAGGATATAGGCCATCGTATCTCCAACAGGTGGGAGCACATCAAAGGACAATACTGGATAATTAAGAGCTAAAGACAACTTGCTGTCATTCATTTCCTCCCACCACAGGTCTAGAATGCAAGATCTGACTGTGCCGGCTGAACCGACCCAACAGGCCTAAGAGATCCGTGCATTCTCCATATTATCTGTGTGGATGGCCTAATTCTAAAACTGAGAGGACCAGACCAAAGTAACATGACTTTCCAACACTCAGAGCTGTTCTGCCCTCAGGACATTCTGCAGATGCTTTTCCTCCTACACAGTGAAGGACAAGAGTAAAAATAACAAGCAAGCTTCATTCAGTCATGCTCAGTAAAAAACTGTGCTAAAGTTACACGAAATTCTCTGCGCAGTCTTAGGCCACAGAGACATAGAAAACAGTGTGCAATAGCTGTTTAAATCTATCATCTGACAAATGGTGACTGAAAATTAGAAACTCTCCATTATTAGCATCTCAAAGAGCATATTAAGTGGTTCATACACAAAATCTGGGAGACAGGTTTACGAAGGAGAATAATTTTACTGATTACTGAAATAGACTACAATGTCATGTAGGTGTCGACTTAACACTGGGAAGCCAGTGGTAGAAAACAGAGAAAGCAGTGGAGGAGGAAGCACAGGCCAAATTAAACACTATGCAATTCACGCACTTTCTGAACATTCTGGCATCAAAGAGAAAAGAAAATCATACCTGTGTACATTTTCCATTGCTGCTACCTCTGCCAGAGCAGCTAAGCTAAAAAATGCAGACACTGCTGGCATATCTGATGTAATACTATGATTTTCTTGTGTCTCTGCATTTCCGGAGCATTCACTGTTGCAATCCATTTCTGCACTTGACGCTTTTTGAAGACTGCTCTGTGGAAGATCTTTTGGCTTTTCCTCTGTAACAAAAGAGAGTTAAGCTTGCAAGTCTAGCTCTTACACTCATAGCAGCACACTGAGGTACTGACCAGTCCAATGTTAACAGAAACTTCACCATTAGGACTTCGATTTTGCTAGTAAAATTAATTCATGCTGCAACCTCTTCTGAACCAAGTTAATGACTGAAGCATACAAACGTTTATGAAACAGTTTACTGACTTTGGATTCAGCTAAACTTGATCCTCCAGGTCAGTCAACAGAGGTTGTGTCTCTGTGTATGTTTAAGATACAAGAAGTCCTAAAAGATTATCTTAACCACTGAGGCTTTTGCACTGCTTGTCATACCACAGAATTGTTTTTATGTCATATTACTAAGTGCGCTATGATTACTTTGCTGAGCTGGAAAGAAAGTATGAAATGTAACTGTTTTTCATTTCTCTTTGTAATCAGTTCTTAGAAAAATACCAGGGAGACAGATGTGGGCAGTCAAACAAATGGAGTTGGCCATTAAGGATGTAACCATTTCACAGTTGATCGATATCTGCATTTTATAGAATGATCTTTCTGAGCAGGTCTGAGAACATGCTGGCTGAACAATACTTTCCTAGTTAGTTGCTTCTGCTCTAATAACATCTCCTACTATACAATTTTAACAAAATTTAAACTTAAACTACCATTTCCTTACCCAGTGTCCCTCCTGCTGGTGACACGCGACCATCTGCTGTTCGAACAAGATGAGTGATCTTAGTTTTCCTCGCTTTCCTTTTCTGGCTTCCAACTAAAGGCTCATGCATCATCGCTGGCTCTGGAGTGTTTAGGGCAGATAAACAAATTTTATTCCTCCAGGCAAGCTCAATGGGATTTCTGTCTTCTGAGAGTATGGCTGAAAAAGAACAAAAATAAATTAATCAACATTTAAGATACAACTCCTGGCTATTCTCATTTAACATTATTAACATATGTAAATATCTACGTAACGTACTAAGCTTTTCCTCACAAGTAGTCAGAGCACAAATCGAGGCAAAATATCATCTTGATCCTGCAGGGGCTTGCAAAGGAATAGTAACATAAGATTTCCTAGGAGGTTCAAGTTTTTAACATTTGCAAAGCAAACTGTGAGACAGGAAGTAGCATTTCAGTTTGAGCACGTTATCAGACAGCGTACAACACTCTACAACAGAAGATACCAATGAGTAGCTAACAGACAAACACATTTAAAGAACAATAACAGCTAGGGTCCTCACATAAACTTATCTTAGCTCATAGCCAGACTCACAAATGGCATTCAGGAATTCCTGAATAACCCTCACACTTCTCTTTCAAGTCACTCTATTTCACCTCTTTTAAGCAGAAGGAAATGCTGCCTTCTACAGAACAATAAAGCTTACAAAAACCTAAAGGCAGCAAATACAACAGCCAAGCTAGATCACTCAAATACAAGAATGCTTAAAAAAAGAAGAAAACAAGCACAGGACAGAATACTATAATTACTACAATGGGATCACTGCCTACATAAAGTGAGAGTACAAATGGAACTGTTTGAAATTCTTTCAACAGTACCAGTGTTGACATATCAAAGCAGCTTTCCATCATGAAGTGGAAAACGATGACAGATTTTCACCTGACTAGATACTAACTTCACTCTTGTTCATGCAGAAATTGGTCAGACAGTAATTCAAGTTTCCAAAGACTGAGATCAGCATACAGTCATAAACTGCCTGCCATTTCCAGTGATTTAATAAATGACACTGCTGATACCACAGGATTTCACAAGATCATAAATTCAGTCTGGTGAAGATTTTCTCCTTTGATAAAAGCATTACCTCATTTGTGCTTACAGAAAGATAGGGTTAGCAAAAAAGGGAATGCCCAGGTCATTTCTTAGAGGCTTCCCTAGACTATTTTGAAACTGAGAGCACTCACGACATCTTCACTAAGTCCACAGGTTGTTTTTCTCCCAGATGCACTGCCTCCTGAATGATTACATAATTTTTCCTAACATCCATATCTCGTCTTTTCTGTGCATTTTCAACTCCTCGTTTTCTTTACTACTCGTCAGGTTACAGCTCATCTCTTTTTAACACTCATTTATTTCACAGTTGTTACCATGTCCACATTTCCTCTTCCCCACCGTTTCCTTCAATCTTTGTTCCTATTTTCAAGAAACGTTTAAAACCCATTTATTCACTCTGTGAGTGACAGGACAAGCAAAAAATGACATACGCAAAACTTCAGTCGGAATGCCAGCAACCAAAACCTCACAGATCACACACAACAGTCCACATTTAATTTTAATAATATTTACTGTTTATATATTGGTTAGATATGGCTAATATAAACTCTTTTCTTTCAGTAGCTTCTTTGATTGCTAACTATGAGACTGGGAGCGGGCTGAAGAGAAAGCTATAACACAATTTTGTTCTGCAATCCGCTGCCCTTTGCTTTCATGGAAAGGAACTGTGTTTTACTTTTAATGTCTTATAGCAAAAGAATATGAACAGATCTAGTGTATATGTATAAAAGCATCTGGAACTGTTACAAAACTTAATGAATACTCTTGAATCCATCTCTGTGCTTTCCCTCATAAACCATTTTTGGATTTATGCGTGTTTCTTATTTTGAAAAATGCACAGCACTTCAGTGAGCTTTCCTCAGAGTTTACCCATAAATACTGACACTCTGCAGAGCAGAGTTTGGTTGTAAAACTTTTTCTTTTATTAAAGAGTACGTGAGTGATTGCAATAACATCTGTCCAAAAGCAGTACAATTAAGAAGAAGCACTAGTGACTATAAATGCGACTTCCAAGTAATTCAATTTACCTAATAGTGAGATGTTCAGATAAGCTTATTGCACTGACTGGGGCCAAAATCTTAATTGGAATGTATAATTAAACAGGCAGCTTTATCTCTAGATTTCTAATTTAGGAATTCAAAAGCGTTGATTATGTATTAATGTAATGGCTTGGTTGTAGCCCAACTGTATTTGTTAATTCTGATTCAGGGATTTGCTCTAATTAGATACTACTTTGACAATGCTGTTTAATTCTAAGGTTGAGTTTATAATGGCTTTAATTTTAGCAATGCAAATTTTTTTTTTTTTTTTTAAACATTTGATAAAACCATTAAAGACATGATTTCAAATCATGAACATCTGAAAGAAAGGAACTTGGTTATGTTTTCAGTTAAATGTGTATTATCTTATGAGCTATGCCAGGTCACTGGGAATTATCTCGATCGGTAAATACAATAGACAGTTCTTATTAAAATTCATGTTTTATTTTACACACTGCATCCATCAAAAAACTTCCAGAAAATATCAAGTCTTGAAAGGTATAAAATAAATAAATAAAAAATTAAAAAAAAAAACTTAAAAAGGCAGTAGTTAACATTATTAAAGACATAAAATGGTTAAAAAAAAAAATTGCAACAGATTAGGATAAAGCAGTACATCATATCTTAAGTGTTTCACTAAGAAACAGCAGAAGGTGACTGACAAATTCAGGATTAAATGTATCCTCTCCTAGTTTTAAGGTAACTCAAGTCTTTAAAAGGAGACTTGGAGTCCTCTATAATTATTCACTTAGCTTAGGAGAGCTAACATTTCACTGTAAAATTGCTGCCATGCATTTTGAATGAGAAAGGAATAAAAATGAAAAGTGAATGAGTGGGGTTTTGTGTTTCTTCCCCCACCCTTTCAGGTGAAAAGAGTGGGTGCTGAAGGGAAGAGTTGCTTTCCTCAAGAGGATTTTTCTACTTTTCTTGGTGGAAGTTAGGTTAAGAGATTATTTCATTGCTTTCTTTACACATTATTTATTCAAACAGAAATCAAACCAAACTCAGAGGAAATTATACAAAATTAAAGGCTCTCAAGAATATTTGCACTGAACTTGAGACGAACAACAGGACGGCAAAGCGAGGTGCAAAGGTCCTCATTCTGCACTGCTTTCAAGAAAATCAGTACCCCGCTGCTTCCACTGACAAAGATGTGTCTGTTTGGATGCTTTAAATCAAGCCTTTGATTCGCAGTGCTGAAATGACAGGGCTAAACAAGTTTAATTCCCTATTTTTTAGTCATTTCTGGAATCCATTTTGTATCCCCCTTCTGCTTCCACGCTCTCCTACCTGCGTGAGCAGTGTAGAACTCACCTAATTTTCAGGAGAATGCTTTCTAGAAATGAAATAAGGGTCTGTTCTACTGTTCAGTCCTACAAACATTTCTGTGGTTAGCTTACTACGTGACAGTAGAGCACGCAGAACTTGGGGACTATTTTTTGCAAGAGGAGTTGAGCACATGATATGAAAATCTGGTATACTTACATTGTGGTCACAAAAATGACTTAGAAAAAAAAGCACCTGGAGCTGTATGCCAGATGGTTTCCTGAGCTAGATTTGTTTAAAGTTAGCATGGACCATTTACCCTACTCTGCAGTTCTACAGAGTACATGAAGTCTTCTTATTGCCTCCATCTATGGTTGGTTCTTTCTTGCATTATAGAGTGCAAGCTGCAGCACACCAGAACACAAGTCTAACACAACAGAAAAGAAACTGGCATAGCTCCAACTCAAGTCTTACACATACGGAAAAAAAAACCCCACCAATATCAATGAAGAGAAAAAGTGAGGATTTAAAAGATGCAACTCACTGCCCTCATTTTGCTCGTTTTTATCAACTCTCAGTACTTCTGTAAAGCTTGCCACCAGAGATTGGAACTTCCTTGTTAATCCTGATTTTGATGCTGCAGTATAATAGTATGCAATCAGAGCAAAACCAGCTAAGGTGGTATCAAGAACACTGATGAACATCTTTACCTCATCTCTTTTCTAATGCCATACTGAACAAGAATAAGACAAGACAGATCTCCCTTTGAGAAGTGCTAGTGCCAAAACCGCACTCAAACCACAAAGGCAGGTCTACAATAACAACGCTCTATTCAAGAGCCCACTCAACAGCTACTGGTCTCACTCAAAACTGAAGACATATTCATCATCTGCCTTTGTGACCATAAAATGACAAAGCAACTCAGCACACCACAGAAACTGTGTCAGTAAGGCACCAGGTAGATAAAAAATGATTTCTTCAACATCTGTTAACAGCAGCTGTAGCAGTTCTCAAGCTGTCAAAGATGAAGGCAGTGTGACCCCTGCTGACAGCAACACTTACAGGTGTCTCCTTTCCAGCTATCAGAATACCCAAGTCTCTCCTTCCTCCAGCAAAATTAACTTCATAAAAACCATAACATATACATACTTGTGACTCACCAGAAGTACAAAATAACCAAAATAACTAAGCCCTCGTTTATTTTTTAACTCAAATAAAACACACAGGGATTCCCAGCTTGACGCTTCTGAACGTGGGATAGTTCTTGGATTCAAAGAGTTTAGGGTCACACTGCCAAGGAATTCATGAAACTGTGATGTATGATGTACATCAAGATCATACTGAGACTGCATTAGGCTGATAACTGTTCCTCACTGTGCAGTTATGGTAGCCAAGACCCCAAATTTTCACCACTTTAACTCAGAAAATACAATTCCCCTTGAACATTTGTGTGTGTGTGTGTATATATATATATATATATATATATATATATCAATGTCTTTCCTTTGATGATTTCCATGTGGGCTGTGTAAGACTGGTAGGTTCAAGCTTCTCATGCCTTTCTTCAGTCTTGGGATGAGCTTAGCAAACTGGCCCTGCTCCAGCAAATGCATAGACACGTCCTTAATGTTTAGACACTATGATACTATTCACATTCTCAATTTCCTGGGGCATGCCGCTGTTGTACTGGAATAAGGCCAGGGTATTCAACACTTGTCAAGCTTTAATCTTTGATCATAGTGCATACTTCATTTTATACCAAAACAGGCTGGTTTCTTTTAATCA